AGAAAGTACACCTGGACTATAGAAAGTACACCTGGACTATAGAAAGTTCACCTGGACTATAGAAAGTACACCTGGACTATAGAAAGTACACCTGGACTATAGAAAGTACACCTGGACTATAGAAAGTACACCTGGACTATAGAACGTACACCTGGACTATAGAACGTACACCTGGACTATAGAAAGTACACCTGGACTATAGAAAGTACACCTGGACTATAGAAAGTTCACCTGGACTATAGAAAGTACACCTGAACTATAGAAAGTACACCTGAACATGTCATTCTGTTTCTACTTCCTGTCCTCTCAAACCAGCCGGTTGAAGCAGATGGACGCTCGTCCTGGTCTTGGTTCTTCTGGAGGTTTGTTCCTGTTAAAGGGAGGTTTTCTTCCCACTGTCTCCTCTGTTCTCGCTCAGGATGAGAGGCTGTGACGAAGTGAAGATTCAAACTTAACTAATTGTCTTTTATAATGTATATGAATGTTTTTAGTGTCCTGAGATGACGTGTGTTGTGACTTCGAGCTACAGAAATAAACTGAACTGAATTAAATTAATATCAAGAACAAATATTTTATTTATTTTTATTTTATAATTTATTATCTTAAGATATGAATGGTGAAACCGTTGAAAGCTTCTTGAAGTAATTGCAGTGTAAAAAACAGTTAGATGAAACGACAAAAAAGAAAACTGATTTGAACGCTGCGTTTACACATGAAGGCCGGTGGCTGCTTGGGATGTTAGTCGGGGCATCGGAGTACAAGGCGAACACATTTGCTTGAACACATTAATTCATGAAAGACCTTTGTAAAACCCCATATAATTTTTAAATTTTTATTTAATGTTCTACTTTGGGTTGGCCTAATAAATAAAATCTCAGTAAAAGATGTTTTAGGTTTGGAAAGTTTAAAGCTCATGAAGGAATGTTGTTCCAAGGCTCTGCATGTGCTGACTGAGTACCACAGGTGGACCACAGGTGGAGTAGTGCACGTCACCTCAAAGCAGTAGTCCTGTCCGAGCAGGGACGAGTGAACGGGTTTGATGACCACTGACTGGTCCATTCTGAGCTCCAGAGACGACACGCAGCCAGCGCTCAGCAACGACTCCTGGCTACCACAACGTAGCCTCCGCATCACACACCTGAAACACACAGACTCCGTGTTAGTTAGTGTGTTGTCAGCAGTGCTGGCTGCAGCTCGCAGGCCCCGCCCCTTTATGTTGCACAGATTCTTCTGCGCTGATGAATGGCAGCTGCTCAGGATGAAGAGTCTCAGGTCATTAAACTACTTTCATTTAACCACATATTAAAAATGTTACCAGGACGTTCCACCTGAAGAATTTCAACAAAATTATAAACATCTGGACCCCAAAAAATAAATAAATAAACAGATCTGTGCATTTACCACTTCTAGGCTGGTCTATTATAACTCTGTCTAAAAACTCTTTAAAATTCTTCAGTTGATCCAAAGTTCTGCAGCTGAAGTTCTGATGAGAGTTAGGAGATCAGATTTGTCCAGTTTCAGCTTCTCTCCATCCCTGACAGAATTTAAATCTTACTTCTAACCTACAAAGCTCTCAACAACCTTGATCCATCTTATATTACAGATCTTATTGTTCCATATTTTCCTAACAGAGCACTTCACTCTCAGACTGCAGGTTTACTTGTGGTTCCTAGAGTTTACAAAAGCAGAATGGGAGGAAGATCTTTCAGTTCTCAGGCTCCTCTCTTGTGGAACCAACTTCCAGTTTCTGTCCGTGAGGCTGACATATTGTCCAGTTTAAGACTGGGATTAAGACTTTCCTTTTTGATAAATCCTATAGTTAGGGTTGGTTTCGGTTTACTGACCGATCCCTTAGTTCTGCTGCTATAGGCTTAGACTGCTGGAGGACAAACTGACCACAATTCCTCCCTCTGCTACTGTCTTTACTTACTCTGCTCCATCTGTTAACATTTGTAACAATTGATTTTCTTAAAGTTTCTTTTTATTTTTATCCACATAGAAACCACACCAGTATGGACCATTAAAACCACACATGGACCATAGAAACTACACCTGGACCACTGAAACTACACCTGGACCATAAAAACTACACCTGGATCATAGGATCTACACCTGGACCACAGA